TACCTGAAACTGTATGATGTTATATGTCAATTATACCTTAATTAAAAAAAAAAACATAAGATATGGACATCTTTTTAGAGATAGCCTTGTGTTCCAGGCTACAGTTTACTGCAGTCCAGGGAAGCAGGGCCTTTGGCCCAGAGAAAATAGTTGTGACTGCTGTGTGCAGAACAGGCTTCTAGGGAGCTTTCCCAAGTAACGGGACCCTTGCACTTGGCCTGGGACCTCAACAAGTATGTGTTGAATAGCTGACTCAGCCATGACGGCCCGAGTGGCTGTTGTCAAACTCAAGAGTATCACACTGGCTGGGGAAGGCAGGGAGCAGGAAGAGTAGGGTGGGATGCCCTTACTCTGGGTATTTATCCAAAGATAAATGGTCATCTGTCATGCCTTGCGATCTTTATCTCCTTCCTGTATTTGGGGAATCCCCCACCTGATGAGGCAGAACCCACCGGGGAAGTTGAGAATGCCAGGCACTCACTGTGCCGGGCTCCCTTGTGGCCACAGTGAGGGTGGGTAACCCCAGCTCTGGTGGGCAGACACCTCTCAGAACCTGGGGGCAGCTTCATCCCGATCTGGTCGACATTGCTGTGGCAGCTGTGGGTGGAGTTGGCCCAGGTGCACCCATGTGTCCACGCCCAGCAATGGCGGCCATGCTCCTTCCTCTCCAGACCAGTCCTGAGGAGGATTTCCAACCTCTGCAGATGGCTACCCAGCAGCTTCCATCCTGGTCACCGTCATCCCAGAGACTGTGAGCCATCTGAGATTAATTCCGTTAATGCCGAAACCAGCCCGAGCTGGTTTCTGGGGAGAGCAGGACTGAGGGAGGAGGCTTCCAGAAGGAGGGCCAGGTGCGGGCAGGGAAGAAGGGGATGCGGGCGCCCAGGTAGAGCAGGTGGCATTGGAGCAGGGAGGTACCGCAGCACTGTTGTCCTTGAGACCCGGTCACAGGTTGTGCGGAGGGAAGTAAGTCACCTGGGGGGTGGGGTGTCCTCCGGCTCCTCACTCGGGTTACAGAGGGTCATGGGCTGGCGCGTTTTCCTGTGAGTCAGGCTTCTTTTCCTTTGCCGCTTTCTGAGCCTTTCACTCAAGAACGTTGGCTGGGCTACCTCATCCTCATCACCGGCGGCCTCTCAGGTTTGACTGGCGAGCCTCAGCGTGCGCCCCCACCTGGAGCCCAGAAAGCCAGTCCTTCACCTAAGGTCCTATTTTAACTTGGGGTGGACTTTCTTTTCACAGGGGAAAGCATAGCTTAAAATACTCCTCCCTGCCCCCACCTCCCCGAAATCTCCAGCACAGCTCTTGCATCCCCGCCTTTGATGGGAGCAACTAATCTGAGCGGGTTGGGCCCTTGCAACTCTATGTGCATTAGAATGGGCTCCTGGGTCTAAGCCTGTGGGGTGAGGGCAGGAAGAGCTTGGGGACCCCACTCCTGGGAGGCTGAGGGGTCCCTCTAGTGGGGCTTCACCCTACGTGGGGAGGTGCTGATGCACACTGCAGGCCCGGGGATCACATCCTTTCTTGGGAGCAGGGTTTGAATGAGCAAGGTGCAGCTGGGGCACTTGGACATGGAGGAGGAGGAAGAAGAAGAGGAGGAGGATAAGGCCTCTAAAATGTGGGAACAGAGTCAGGTGCTCCATAGACCACCTCCCTCCTGCTCTCATCTCACTCCCAACTCCGATTTAAACCACCTGGCACACAGCCCTTCATGCAAGTCCAAGTCCACATGGACAGGCGGAGGAGGCCGCTGCCCACACAGGGGGACTTAAGGAGCACAATCTGGAAAGAACCGAAGCAGGACATGGGCACTCCTGCAGTGCTTACCATCCTGGGCACCCAAACCAGCATCTGTCACATGCTGCCTCCTACAGGACATGGGCTCTGTTCATCAACTTCTCACAGTGTCCCTGCCTTGAGGGGGCTGTGGACTCGGGGCACTACGGGCCATGCCTTAGTCCTCCATGCGTCCCCCAGGACACCCAGCTCAACAGATACTCATCAGTTCACCCGTCCATCCAGCAGGGGTGGCTTGGAGAGGCCCCATGGGAAGGAGAAGGGAAATTTCTGTGGATCCCTGCCTCCCTCTGTACCAGGCCCATCTTTTTCCCCAAGAGGAGGGAAGAGTTGGGATTTCCAGTTCTTTCCTTTGTCACTGTTTCTTACACTATGTGCTTTTACCATAACAGACACACGCAGTCCCTCTCCTGTTGGAGGCATTCGGGTGTGCATCGCTCCTCTGGGAGACTGTGAGTGTCAGAGAGGCCGGGACTGGGTCTTGGTCACCTCAGCAACCCTGACATCATCCGGCACATGGTCGGCATGCTGTAGTTTTTGAATGAAGGAACATTCGTTGAATGGAATTGTCATGCGAGAGGCCACCTACCCCCATAACAGCTGTGTAGTGTGTTAGAATGTGTCATTAAAAAAAAAAGTTTTAGGGGTGCCTGGGTGGCTCAGTTGGTTAAGTGACTGCCTTCGGCTCAGGTCATGATCCTGGAGTCCCGGGATCGAGTCCCACATCGGGCTCCCGGCTCAGCGGGGAGCCTGCTTCTCCCTCTGACCCTCCCCCTCTCGTGCTCTCTGTCTCCCATTCTCTCTCTCAGATAAATAAATAAAACCTTAAAAAAATAAAAAAGTTTTAGATGTAAATCAGCATACAGTCTCAATTTAAAGTGTATAATTTAATAGTTATCAATATATTGACAGAGTTGTGCCACCATCACCAAAATTAATTTTAGAACATTCTATCATCCCCCCAAAACAAATCTGGGATGCCTCAGCTGTCATTCTTAGCCCCTCTCTCCCAACACTTGTCAAACACTAATTGATTTTCTGTCTTTATGGATTTGCCTATTTTGGCCATTTCATATAAAGGGAATCACACAATATATACATATTTTTAAACTGGCTTCTTTGACTTAGCATAATGTTTTCAAGAATTCTCCACACTATACATGTATCAGCCTTTCATTTAATTTTATGGTCAAATGATGTTCTGTTGTGTGGATACCACATTTTATTCATCCATTTATCAGTTGTGGATACTGGTTTGTTTCCATTTTTTGACCATTGTGAATGAGGCTGCTGTGTACATTTGTGTGCAGAGTTTGGTGTAGACACACATTTTCATTTTGCTTATGTATACGTTGGGTCATGTGTTAACTCTGTATTTAACCTTTGGAGGAATTATCAAACTGATTTCCAAAATAGCTTCACCATTTTACATTCTCACCAACAATATATAAGGGCTCCAATTTTTCTACACTCTTGGAACACTTGTTATTATCTGTCTTTTTGATTCTACCTATCCTAGTGGATGTGAAGTGTATCTCATTGTGGTTTTGATTTGCACTTCCTTAATGAATAATGTTGTTGACCAACTTTTTGTGTGCTTATTGGCTCTTTGTCTTCTATGAAAAATTCAAATCCCTTGCCTATTTTTAGTTTTTAAAATTTTATTTTTTTATTTTATTTTTTTAAAGATTTTATTAGTTTTTAAAATTTTTAATTGAAGTATAGTTGACATATAACATTATATTAGTTTCAGGTGTATGACATAGTGATTCGACAATTATATACATTATAAGATGTTCACCATGATAAGTATAGTTACCCTCTGTCATCACACAAAGTTATTACAATATTATTGACCATATTTCTTACGCTGGACTTTTCTTCCCTGTGACTTATTTATTTTATAACTGAAGGTTTGCACTTTTTAATCCCCTTCACCTATTTCTTCTATCTCCCCAACCCTACCCCGTTGGCAACCCCTAGTTTGTTTTCCATATTTATGAGTCTGTTTCTCTTTTCTTTTTGTCATTGTTGTTTGTTTGTTCCTTTGTTCTGTTTTTTAGATTCTACATATAAGTGAAATCATATGGTATTTTTATTTCTCTGATTTATTTCACATAATGTGACAACCTTTAGGTCCATCCATATTGTCACAAATGGCAAGGTCTCATTCTTTTTTTTATGGCTGAGTAATAGTCCATCGTATATATATATACCACATCTTCTAAACCATTCATTTATCGATGGACACTTGGGTTACTTCTATACCTTAGTTATTGTAAATAATGCTGCAGTAAACATAGAGGTGCATGTATCTTTTCGAATTAGTGTTTTCATTTTCTTTGGGTAAATACCCAGTAGTGGAATTATTGGATCATATAGTAGTTCTATTTTTAGTTTTTTGAGGAGCCGCCATACTGTTTTCCATAGAGACTGCACCAGTTTACATTCCCAACAGTGCATGAGGTTCCTTTTTCTCCATTTCATGGCCAACACTTGTTATAGCTTGTCTTTTTGATTTTAGCCATTCTGACAAGTGTGAGGTGATTATCTTATTGTGGGTTTGATTGGCATTTCCCTGATGATGAGTGATGTTGAACATCTTTTCATGTGTCCGTTGGCCATCTGCTTTGGAAAGTGTCTATTCGGTTCCTCTGCCCATTTTCAATCCTTTGCCCATTTTAAAATTAGATTATTTGTCTTTTTATTATTGAGTCATGATAGTTTTTTATATATTCTAAATATAAGTCTCATCAGATATATGATTTGCAAACATTTCTCCCATTCTGTGGGTTCTTTTTTCACTCTCTTGTTAGTGTCCTTTGAAGGGCAAATATTTTTAATTTTGATGAAATCCAATTTGTCAATTTTTTCTTTTGTCATCTGTGCTTTTGGTATTGTTTTTAAGACACAGATGCCTAACCTAAGGTCGTGAAGATTTGCACCTATGTTTTCTTCAAGAATTTTGTAGTTTCAGTTCTTATGATTAAGTCTATGATCCATTTTTGAATTAATTTCTATATATGGTGTGAGGTAGGGGGTTCAAATTCATTCTTTTGCATGTGGATGTCCATTTGTTCCAGCACGCTTTATTGAAAAGGCAATTCTTTCCCCCATTGAATGGTATTGGCACTCTTAGAAAAGATCAGTTGACCATAAATTGACCATAACGGGTTTACTTCTGAATTCTGATGTTTATTCCATAGAAAATAGGAAAGCTGCCTATTTCACGTGTGGACCACAAGAAGCAGACCAGCTTGCTCCTGTGACGGTGGATACCTTCCTCGGAGAAATCACAGTGGTTAAGTCATCCAACTCTGAAAGGAAGGTGCACTAGTTATTGGGAAAACGTAGGCGACCTGCATTTGAGGTGACAAGCAAAGGGAAAGACAGTAGCCCTGTCATCAGTGGACTGATGAAATCAACACAACTTTGCTGTAATTTGCATTCCTTTCTTTCTCAAGAATGGAAATGAATATTTGGCATCTAATGAGCCTTCTTTCATATTTTAAGAATAAAACCCTCCTTTTTGGATGCAATGTCTTGACAGTAAAAGGCAAAATTATTCTAGTATTCTGCAATACCACAGAGAAAGACCCAGCCCAGGGTGGGTGAAGAGGTGGGGCAAAAGGGGCTTCTAGGGTACGGAGGCCTCAGAAACACAAAGCCAGTTTGATATATTTAATCTTTGCCACTTTACCTGAGAGTGCAAAGACGTTTTGAACTGCCAGAAAGTAGGTTAAAAAGATCCGCGGAGTGCCTGGGTGGCTCAGTCGGTTAAGTGTCTGCCTTCAGCTCAGGTCATGATCTTGGGTCCTGGGATCAGAGTTCCGCATCAGGCTCTCCCTGCTTCTCCCTATGCTTCTCCCTCTCCCCCTCCCCTGCTCACTCACTCTCTCTCTCCGTCTCTCTCTCTGTCAAATAAATAAAATCTTTATATCCTTCATTTCTCTTCTCTTTGATTTGATTGAACTCATTCCCATCAGTAGTGATTAGGTGGCTACATAGTGATGAGGCGGGTGCCGAATTCCCTCCCACCCCCAACCCCTTGTAGGGAAATACAAGTGCAGAAAATGTCCCTGTCCTGGACTTTGGGCTCTGCTGGGGAGACGGATGGATTGTTAAAAATCCTGGACAAAAACCACAAGGCAGAGCAGACATGGGGTGGGGGTGGGGCTGCTAATGTTGTTTCTACCCTGAGTCCAGACTCCTGTCTTCTGGTTATGCTCCCATTTGGCTTTTGAGGAATGACTTCAAACTAACACCTATTCGGTCAGAGAAGATGCCGGCCCTCCTCAAGCCAGGGCAATAGAACCCTCCCTCCTAGGCGGTTCAGTCTTGCCTGGAAGGACATAAGGATAAAGGAAAAAAGACAGACTGACCCACGTACACACACACACACACACACACACGCAGTCACACGCTGCCCACCCCTCCACATTGGCTCAGACTCTGCTCAGCACCAGGGCCCAGATGAAGCAACCCATTAGTGTTTGTTTCTCAGGCCCCAGGGCCAGTGCAAGTCCCAGCCCCTGCCAAGCCCGGCTCTTTGCTCCTTTGGTCCAACGGGCTCTCCCATTTCCTGTCATCCGTTCCCTTTTTGCTTAAGTTATTCAGAGGTATTTTTGTTGCTTTCACACAAAGAACCCAAGTGGGACGCTGGGAAATTATTTTTACATCCCTCAGGGGTTGGGAAAGATTAGAGAACATGCCCAGGCCTCAGGAAGACTGACAGAACTGTCCAGAGCCCAGACTCAGGCGGAGAATGGCTGACCCTGGGGGCTGTGAGCTCCGAGAATGGAAGCAAGATATACCTTGACTATGGGGAGGAAAGCCTCCTGTGTTGGTCAGATGAACAGAGATCTTAACATCTACTCCCTGCTCTTCCCCCTACCTCCTGCACGCTCAATATAGGGTGTCCCACATAGTGAGGCCTGTGATGGGTTCAGTTCCATGGGTGACCTGTTCTGCCAGGCCCGTGGCCCCAAGGCCTGAGGGCCCACCTGAGTGAGCACACACAGCTTCCCAGACTGAACTTTGTATCATCTGCTCAGTCACCCTGGGAATCATCTGGGTTAAAATTTTATTTTACCTTTTTAAAAACTTATTTATTTATTTAAGAGAGAGCGATAGAGAGCGCTCAAGCAAGAGGGGCAGAGGCAGAGGGAGAGAGAATCTCAGGCAGACTCCACGGTGAGGGTGGAACCCCATGGGGGGCTCGATCCCACGACCCTGAGTTCATGACCTGAGCTGAAACCAAGAGTCAGACGCTCAACCGGCTGAGCTCCCCAGGGCCCCTGGGTGAGAATTTTAGTCCCTGGGTGGTCTCCTCTCACAATCCAACATGCTCAGGGCGGACCGTCTTCCTTAGCAGTTGTTCAGGGAAATGTTCTGTAACTGGTGGGAGCCACGGCCCGGGGAGCGTGTGTGGCTCTCCTCCACGGTCTGAAATCCAGAACTGACGGCTCCTTGCTGGAGGCGCGAGGCCTACGTTGTCCTTTCAGCAGTCCCTACGAACTATTCCGGACTGCGAAAGGGCGTAAGGAACGCGACAGTGAGCACCTGGGCGCTGGCCCTGAGCGCAGGAAATAAGACATCAGCCGGGCCTTTGGAGCCTCCCGAGCAAATGCCCGCCCGCAGGGCCGCCAACCCGGGAGCCGAGCTTCGTGAGCGACCTGCTCTTGTGCTTCGGGCCGGCGGCCGTTCGGGGTGGGCCGCAAGGAAGCGGGGCTTCGGCCTCTGATCTGGGAAGGCACGGGGGAGCTGCCCTGGGTCTAGAAGATCGCCAGCACGATTATCCCTGTCGCTAGAGTTTTCGGCCTCCAGAGTGGATGAGTTGAAATTTTGACTCCAGCGCTCCGTGGCCCCTTCTCATCTTAGTAATAACCCCAGTGTGTGTGTGTGTTGGGGGGGGGGGGAGGTTGTTGGTCAGACGCCCATGCCCAGACCTTCAGGTGGAGCTGGCTCCCCCGCCAGGAGGCTCCCCCCTCGGGCTGGTGGTGCGTTACTGGCCTTGGACCCTCCGTCGGTATTTGTAATCCTTCCTAACTACTATAATTTTTGAGCAGTCGGGAAGTATCAAGACACTTCTGATGGACTTGACAGTACCAAGAAATACTCCAGAGAATGTTCAACTGCCTGAGATGGAAGGATGACAATAACGTCACCCCTGTTTTGCAGGTGAGGAAACTGAGGCCCAGAGGGCGGTTTGCCCTCTCCAGGGGTCGGAACTCAGGCGGTGCCGAGTGGAGGGGGGGACCACGCCTGCCAAGGAGGCAGGGTTTTGAGGCAGAGGTCTTCCCTGGCCTCCCACCGCGGGCTGATTCTGGGTTTTGCTGGCCTGGTCCATCCACTCTTCGGGATAGACCAGCCACTTGTGCTCAGGCCACAGTGTTCTGTGGACAGAGCCAGGGTGGCCTTCATCTGTGTTTCCTGGGGGGTCCTCATCGATTCCAGCCACAGCCATCCTAGCACAGGGCACAGTGTGCGAAGTCCTGACTGGTGGCTTTGTTTGACATACATTATCATCTCCCAAAAATGAGATTCTTGCCTAGGTCTCGGCATCCTATGCAGCTGGGCCTCCGCAGACCGGGCACTTACGGGGTACCTGTGGGCCACCCGTGGTCCCACGCCAACCCTTCACCCCACACCTCTCTGTGGCAGCTTAGTCCATGGCCTTTGGTGTCACCTGGTGTTACCCTTGGGGATTATTTCTTCTTTGTCTTATAAATAGCCGAGCACGTGCCTGGGCTGGCTGTTAATCCAGGGCACTGGCTGGAGACTGGGCAATCACGTCCACCTCAGCTCGGGCCAAGAGCTGCACACACAGCATCCCGGACCCAAGTTACAGAAGCACAGCCCGTGAAGCACCAGCCTGCAGTTCTGAGGCTGTGGCTGGATCCCAGAATGGATCAGAGGGAGACCCACGAAGGACGTGGTCCTCACAAAGCCATCCTGCTGACGTCATCCCACCTCACTCCCCCGTGGCCATGAGCCTCAAACCCCGTGGGAGCCCCCCCCACCGGAATCCCTTGTGGCGAAAGTGAACTTCTCCCGCTTGGTCAGGAGGTTTTGGGCCCAGAGAGAGGGAGGGGAGGGGGATAGGAATAGAGAATGAGGGCTCTGGAAGCAGGAGGCCGGCTCATCATTGCCAAGAAATATAAAAAAAGTGCAAAAAGAGCGAGGCCGCAGAGTCATGAACAATTTGCAAGCAGCCTTTCATTTCAGCAAATAAAAAAAAAAATCCAAAAAATTGCTCTTCTTTATGCCTCCTGTTTAAAAACAAAGCCTTAGGAAAGACACCCTGAGGTTTTAAGCTGGGGGCAGTAGGGGAACAGTGTCCCGGATGGCCCGGAGGCAGCCCGGCCGTGGGGACTCCAGGGTCAGCAGAAGGCAACGAAGCTTTACTCTCGGGCCAGATAATGAACTAAGCATCTAAGTTGAAGGTGTTTATTTCACTCCCAATGTTTTGTTCTAGCTGAACTCTGGAGGAAAATGTCTTGAGAAAAGCTCTTGGGGTGTTGGTCCCAAGCAGGCCCAGGAGGCAGGTGGGAAGGGGGAGGCAGGTGCTCCTCGAAGGGGCGCTGGGGGATGGCACTCCTGTGTCCTCGAGGTTAGAGGTCTCTCTGGTGTTATGTCTGCATTGGTGTGAGGTTTAAATGTTGCCTCCCCCAGGGTAAGTAAAAAATACACCTTTCCCAAATGCTCTGCACTGCTAAAAGGAAACCCTGACCCCCTGTTAGCCATCAGCCCCTGATGTTACCCCTAACACCCCCTCCCCCCACCCCCCACCTCCCAGGGTCTGTGTGGGGCTGGAGATGGCAGCGTGCTTCCCTCTGAGTGACACTGGGTCTTAGATGCTGAGTGCTCGATGGGGCTGGGGCTGGGCCGCAGCCTCAGGTCTTCTAGGCTTGCCTCCCCCGGCATGGAACGCCTGCCCCAGATGCCAGCGCCGCTGGGGCCTGGAGTTCTCGGTGCATGGTGCCCACGGTGGAGCCTCCATCCTGCAAGCAGGGCCCCGGGCAGAGGAAGGGAGCCCCCAGCTCCCACCTGCACTTGCCCAGGACTTGGTCTGAGCCACAGGTAGCTGGATCAGGTTGAGAAATGCTGACAGCCTGCCTCTCCTGGGAGAGCCCCCACCTGCATGCTGGGGGACCAGAACCAAATCAAGGTGTCAGCAGGGCTGGCTCTTCTTGGAGGCTCTTGGGAAGAATCCATCTCTTTGCCCTTGCAGAGACCACCCACAGCTTCAGGCTTGTGGGGCCCTTCCTCCACCTTCAAAGCCAGCAGCCTTCTTTGTGTGGGCAAAATCTCCCTCTGCCTCCATTTTATAAGAATATAGGTGATTGCACTTAGGGCCCCACACCCCAGATAATCCAGGAATATCGATCTAAAAATCCTTAACTTGGGACACCTGGGTGGCTCAGTGGGGTAAGCATCTGCCTTCGGCTTAGGGTCCTGCATCAGGCTCCTTGCTCAGCAGGGAGCCTGCCTCTCCCTCAGCCTGCCGCTCCGCCTATTTGTGCAGGCATGCTCTCTCTCTCTCTCTGACAAATAAAAATCTTAAAAAAAAAAAAGAAAAAGAAAAATCTGCAATCAGTTACCTCCACACAGTTTTAGTATGAGTTAACATGAGTCATTCTTTGAAGAATTACTGATATATACTGCTGTGTTTCTTTAAGAATCTTATGTAATTCCAATCCTCTTTCCCCCCACAAATCCAAATCAGGTGTCAGGTGTTTGTACATCGACAGGTTTATTCTTTTCTTAAAGCTTAAACAAATACATCTTTACGCACACAAAAGTTGGTAAAAAGTAAGCCCTTACTGCTTTGTTAAAAATAAAACCCATACACAAACCTTTCTGGCCAAACCCCAAAGCAAGAAAACATCACATTTCTACAATACATCCGCATACGGTTACGTGTATGTTTTCCAGTCGATACAACTCATTCAGACCTGCCTCAACAAAGGGAAGACTAACTTTAAGACCATGAAGGGAAAAAAATGCATGCCTCTTATAAGTGTTAAAGAAAAGTAGATATGGAGTTCTGAAAATTCTCAATAAATAGTTCATAGTATAAAAATTCTTAACTCTATTGTTTATCTTTAATCAATGGCAGTACCAGTTATTGCTACCAATTATCGCTGTAAGAAAGCATTCAAAGGACATTAAAATAACTATGCATATTTACAGCAACAAAACAAACATTTGTAACCTTTAGCTCTTCTACATAAATCCCAGAAGAGGGAAAGTTCACTATAAATTAATACTCGATGCTTCTAGCCCAGCTAGAATTAATCAATTTTTAAAAATCAACCATAAGATATTATAAATATGGGATTCAAGAAAGCAGCTAAGAAAAAGTACTACTTAATAAATGCAGGAGGCATCAAGCAAAAAAAGAAGAAAAAAATGTTACTCCCTTTGGGGAGAATTACTGCTAGAATAATATTAATAAAAATGATAAAAGATGGCATAAAAGGCAGATATAAAATAAAGTTGATTCTTGATGTGAGAATAATTTTATTTCTTGCATTGTAAGAAGGTCTTATGTTCTTCTAGAGAGACTTAGAAAAAAAGCCATGCATATAAAATTCTAATTACGTGCCAATTGAGTGACTTTGTCAAAGGTTTGCCCCAGAAGGGCTTTTTCAAAGAGGTTAAAAACTTGTCCTAATTGCCATCCAAATTGATGTTTACAACCAACATAAGCCATCATCTACTTCCAAAGCAAACCCTGTCTAGAGACTTCACTTAGGAGCACTTTTTGCTTCTTGTTTGAATAAAAAAGGAATTTCCCATATTGGAAAACCCGGAGTAAGAGCGGGAGAGAAAGAGACAAGCCACGGGAGTCAAGGACCTCATGAAGCCAGGCGAATATGGAAAGATCAGAAAAAGGAAAAGGCAAGCAAGTTTCTGCAAATAGGGTAGGTTCCCCCCCTGGAAGGCGGATGAGTACTTGGTCATAGGCAGGAAACCAGAGGGGTGGTGGGGTCGGGATGCAACAGAGGTTCCTCTCCCATTCAGGCAATGAGGGCTTAGCTAATTGTTTCTCAGACAACTAACAGAGCCAGAAACAAAAAAGTTACAAAGACACCCTGAGAACCAGCCCTTTGAAACTGGAAACAAGTTCCAGAGAAAACGTGCACCCACCCACGTGTCTCAAAAGAGATTTTCAAAGGGGGCACTGAAGAGAGGTCTTTTATTTTAGAAACATATCCGCTCTGGTTGGCGATTCTCCTGCCCCACAGGCCACCTTGGACGCTACCTAGCTGGTGGGACCACACGGCAGGCAGCTGTGGAAAACAGGCTCAAGTTATTTGGTGGCTACACACAGATAAGCACAGTTACAGGGGTTAGAGTCTAAGGCTGACTCATCTTAACGTGGTAACCGGGACTGAGCAAGATCAAGCACAGCTTTCCTTAGAAAGGTGGGAGAAAGCTGAAGGAACGGGCAGAGAGAGAGAAATGAAAACCAAAAGAGATATGAGTCAAGTGATTTACTTTGTTGATGCAAATTTGGGTGAGTTAGCAAAATTGAGGTACCCTCATTTCCCAAAGATGAACAAAGATGGAGTTGAACGTCAAGGCTGGATGATGCCCCCGCACCTGACTGCTAAAGGAAAGTCGACAAACTGTCTCACATCCTTCCTACCCAGCAGCTGGTTCCACTGGGATGCCGTGTCTCCAGGAAATGTGCTCCTTAGAAGGAAATACAGCCTTGGGGCATTGGGACACTCTCCTCTACTCTGGGCCCCATGGCTTCTCCTTCCTCACAGTGCCCCATGCCACTTACCAGGCATTTACCGGAAAAGAATGGCTTCTAGTTTTGAAAGACCTTTAAATAAGAGATTAGTAATCAGTCCAGTTGCTGCATAAGACAAGAACAAAAATCATTATTTCAGTCTATTTTAAAAAAAAAAACAACAACTCGGCTGGCTGGCTCGGTCGGTGGAGTGTGCAACTCTAGGTCTCAGGGTTGTGAGTTCGAGGCCCACATTAGGTGGAGAGATTACTTAAATAAGCGTAAAAAAATAAAATAAACAAACAGCCCTTTCCTTCTTGCTACCATAAATGCTAAATGGAAGAATGTACAAATAAAAAGGGAAGAGAGTATTTTCAAATTATTAAGAAAATGGAGAAAACAACCAATCAATGGGAGAAACCATGAAAAGAACTCCAGAAAATATTACAAACCTGGGCCCTTTGAAAGGATGGTATTCCATTAAAAATTAAAAATGCTTGCATGTTCTAATGTGACACATGACTACTTCCAAGTTTTAGAACATTCTTGAACAAAATGTACACAGCAAACAAGCAAGGTAGCAGCCCACTCCCTGCCCCAGAGTCCTCAGCAAGAGGCCCCACAAGCACCCACCAGTGATAGCAACAGATGGAAACTTGTGTCTGGTAGGAAATGGCACTGGGTGAGCTCTAAGACGCCTAAACTCTAAGATTCTAGAGATGCTAAAAATCCTGCTATGAGTATGGTTTGCTCCACTATGTAGCCCTCTGAAATACACAAAGGTGGCTCAAATAACAAGCCTTCTACAAATGAGCTGAGAGCAATAATATACCTTAAACCCACACTCAGAACCATAATATACATTATAAACTTTTCCTAATACTATTTGATGGCTGAAAATATTAAACATCTATTTAATTTTAAACCTACCTATTCTCAATTTCTATTTCAAAATACCAGTTATTATTCACTATACAGAACCAGGCAAAGACACTTTTAAAATTAAGTGGCTATATAAAAGAAAGTCTTCATTATTAAAGAATAGCGACATCTATGTTCTGCCCATCTTTGGGATCAAGGCACCTTATAGACTTTTTCCTCTTCTTTACCTGACCTGTCAGTATGCTCATGAGGCAGGGAAGGACAGGGACAATTATTCCCATTTCATGGCTGAAGAAATGGAGGCAGAGAGAGGCGGAGTGACTCGCTCAGATTCACTAAGTCTGTGGCCAGCGTGGAAATGTAGGACCAACTGCCTCCCTACTTCCTTCCCTAAAATCATCAGTAATACTCATGGGAAGTGTCACACATAGTACATATTACTCTTCAATGACAGCCAAGGGTGAAGGGAAGACAGGAGGAATCATGTGAGGGCTTTTTTCTTTTC